TGGCAGATGAATCCTCCAAAGGGATGAGAATCCTCTGGTTTCATCCCGGGAAAGGATACACCAGCCCAAAAAATGCCATTTCCAGTATTTCAGCATCTGCATCTTCTGAATCTTTTTTGGATTCCCTTGAAAATCTTGAAACAGCTGGGACAACATTCACTTGCACTGCTTCGCCAAATCGCCAAAGAGACAGCTGGCCCAACTGCCACCCGAGTTTGAAGCCGTATCCATAGATGCAGTTTGGATCTTCCATTTTTTTCCAGTGCTCACTTGACCCTTCGTGGTTGATTGTGAAACTCTGATAGTGAAACTGGAGACACTTGCCCGGTCGTTGCTAAGATGTCCTAGACATTGTTCCTGAAATTTTCAACCCCAAGGCCCCCCAAGCCACACTTTTGGCCGGTTTTGAAGTGCAGTATCTTGCCCTTTACCCTCTGGTAATTCAACAAAATGCTATGATGGAAAATCACATTTTTTAAGCAGTAAATCAGCGAACTATTTCTGGGCCATGGCTTTCAGTTCGCAAATTGTGAAATTACCAGAGGGCAATCCCACTTGGCTCTTAAAACATCTCACAAAATCCAGGTATTTTCTCTATGTGCGGATGAAAACCATGGGTTTCCGGATGTTTCCGGTAGATTTCCCAACCTCACGAAAAAAACGGCGAAACGTGTTTCCAGAATGTTAGTTGGATATAGTTCGATCATGCTTACTTCATACGCCATGATATTTCCCACTTTTTAAGATCTATGACTGGTGGTTGCTATTTTTGGAAATTGCACATGGCAATGCAAGAATTCCAAACGTTTCGGAAGTTGTTATCGGTTATCTTCTATGAGTCTATAATATTCTATGATTATTTACCAAGCTCTTTTTCCCATAAAACAATATCAATTCAACATCTATGATATTCTATGATTATTTACCATTTTTTCCCTTAATATCTATCTATCTATCTATATATCTATTATCTATTTATCTATCTATCTACCTACCTATCTATCTATCCAATCCTATCCAATCCTATCCAATCCTGTCCAATCCTATCCAATCCTATCTATCCTATCTATCCTATGTATCCTATCTATCTTATCTATCTTATCTATCATATTTATCTAATCTATCTAATCTATCTAATCTATCCAATCTATCCAATCTATCTATCTAATCTATCTATCTAATCTATCTATCTAATCTATCTATCTAACCTATCTAATCTATCTAATCTATCTAATCTATCCAATCTATCCAATCTATCTAATCTATCTATCTAATCTATCTAATCTATCTAATCTATCTAATCTATCTATCTAATCTATCTAATCTATCTAATCTATGTATTCTATGTAATTTATCTAATCTATGTAATCTATGTAATCTATGCTATCTATCTATCTATCCATCCATGCATCCATCTATCTATCTATCCATCTATCTATCTATCTATATATATATATATATAAACAAAATCCGTAAAAAAAACAGCTCGCAGCCCAGGTGCAAAGGTGTCAGCCACCTTCAGTGGAGGCGGTGAGGCACATCGGTTTCCATGGAGGTTTCAAGAGGAAAATCATCGAACTCAATGGGGATTTCCATGGATTTCCTGTATAAATCAATAGATAAATATACATATATATATATATACATAATAGGGGGTTACACTTCTTTTTTTGTATTTATTTATATCATATATATGCTGGTTGGTGGTTTCAAACATTTGGATTATTTTCCATTTCATATATTATATGGGATGTCATCCCAACTGACGAAGTCATATTTTTCAAGATGGTTATTGCACCACCAACCAGATATATATATATATATGCTTGAATATGTAGAAATGGAGGTTGCAGGTTGAAAATCATCGAAGTAAATGGAGGGATGTACCAGATGGCATACCACCATATACCACCAATTTATGACTTTTGCAACAAAAACTAGACTCTTCAATAATTGCAAGCATGATTTTCATGGATATTTTCGAAATCATGGTTTGTAAATGTTTGTAAGCAATTTTTTCTTTCACGATTTATGGCCATTGAAACATGGGGAACATGAAAAAATGAACTGATTTTTAACATCATCGAATTTGAGGGTACGTTCTTGGATAGACCGAAGTATATGGCAGTATGGCATATATATATATATAGACGGATACATTATGTGTTAAGTATGGTTCAATGTACCCTCTGGTAACTCAATCTAGCTATTGCAAATTGGTATTTATAGTTGATTTACCCATTAAACATGGTGATTTTCCATAGTTATGTAAACGTTCACCAGAGGGTACTAAACATGACCAATTTTGAAGATCCATTGGCAACCCTTTTTTGACTATCCAAATCCTAACATCCTCAGTTGAATGAGGCATCCTCTGCCAGACCTCCTTGTTTTGAGACCTGACGAAAATGAAAAGATCGACACCGAAACAGGGTTTACTGAGGGGATTTTTCGTTAAGGCTTATGGGAATCAATGGACCTTCACTGCAGCATGACAGCAGCAGGTGTATGTTGAACAAATCGACAGCAGCGTATGATATGTGCTATGAAGTATGATATGTGACTATATGATGCAGACATACTATGGTACATGATCGTATTAACAAACAGTCTCTGCCGGGTGTTATTTATGGCTTTGCCAGACAATGGGGCAATCCAGATTTTATCATTCAAAACCCCTGTGGGTTGATGTCGGGAATAGTACTACCCAATATGTTGTGGATTATCATCATCCGTGAACTGGGAATTCGGAATCCCCACATCCCAGAACTTCACGTAAAATCCCATTAGAAAAAATCCATCAAACTCCATACAAAATTCCATAAGAATACAAAATCCATCTAATATCTCATAAATTCATAAATTCCATATACATATACTGGTTGGTGGTTTGGAACATGGTTTATTTTTCCATTCAGTTGGGGTCATGTCATCATCCCAACTGACTTTCACTCCATCATTTTTCAGATGGGTAGGTTGAAACCACCAACCAGTCTAACCATAGACTTCCATTTATAGTTGATTTAGCCATTAATAGCATGGCTAGGTCAACCACCAACGTCGTTAAAATCGTTGAGTCGTCCTTGAAAAACACGCAGCGTTTCGACGTTCCAGGACATGGCTCCAGGCCTCGGGATGCTGGGAAAGATGATAGAAACCATCCCCCCATTCATGATGGTTAGTGGTGGTTAATGATGGTTAGTAGTGGTTAGTAGTGGTTAATAATGGTTAATAGTGGTTAATAATGGTTAATAGTGGTTAATAATGGTTAATAGTGGTTAATAGTGGTTAATAATTTAGGTATCATCAACAATATAGATGTAGAATCTTCATATTAAACACAGCCTATGGCTCCCAAGACGTGGTTTCATCCCCCAATTGGACGTGGTGGCTGCTGCCTTCTTGGTTGAGTAGTTCTGGGAGTAAGCCTATATAAATGGGATATACATGTTATAAATCTGGGTAAATTTCATCACGACCTCACTGGTCTCCCGAAGCCTGGAATGATGGTTAGTAAGGGACACTATCCCAAAAAAAATCTATTTCAGGTTTGTGAATTATTATAATTTGCCTATATATAAGATGGGGAAATCCCGGAAATCCAACCAGGATCTTACCCGAGACGCCAGTCCGGGTTTTGTCACCGTTGCATGTGAGATGGTCGCTGGGAGATATTCCAAGCCGGGGGCACGCCAAAATGACCATGTTGCTTCATGTCCAATGTAACGGAGTTGCCACTAGTTCTTCGTCTTCAAGGAAACTGTGGATCAAAAGTAGCCTTCACCACCCAACATGTAGCAACACGAATTATCACCACTATAATTCTATGGTTGTGTACCACCACTAATGATCACGAAAATTGTATGGTCCATATGGTTGTTTAATCTGCCACTATATGAAATGGTTACTGTGAATTTTCACGCAGAAAATTGGGCAGGAATTGATGGCAGATGCTGATGGCATGGTGGATTCCTTTGCTGAGTTCTATCCTGAGGCGAGGGAGCGATTCACCTGTTCCCTGGTAGCAGGACAGCAGCACCTGTGGGGGGATGAATTTTGAATGAATGACCCTGGTGGAAGAATGGGTATCACATGGTATAACTTATAACTATGATGGTACTTGGTGGCTCATCCCACGAATCGTAAGTGGGTTATAACCCCAGTTATAAGTGGATTAACCCGGTTATAACCCACTTACTAAGTGGGATGAGCCACCCAGTATAAAACTATGGGATTTGAGCTTCCATAAGTTGGGATATCATCCCCCAAAATTTCTGTGAAATTTAGAGGTCCACTCTAGTGGAAGTGAAATTTCGGGCCCGCGGTGCAAGGAGAGTTTTGGTGCAATGGCTTTGTGCGAAGGCGATTGGCTTTGTGGTAGATGTATATCTATAGTCTTATGGGTTGTTTATAGACCATGGGAAATCTGGGAAGATGGAGGACATATTCCAGATATTTCCAGATAAAATAAGGGTGGAAACACATGAAACTCAGTTTTTTATCCAACAAGCCATGGGGCATTCTTGGGGTGTACCCTCTAAATGGCTATGCATGGGGATTAAACAAAAAGCAAACACAGGCTATAAATATTAACCAAGCGTAAGGGGGAAAAGCTCGGATAATCATCCCCAAAGTTAACCCCCAGTCATGTTTGGGCTTCATGGATAAGGCTTATTGACTACAGCACAAACAAGCACTAATAATAAGGGCAGATCTGAATCATCCATTATTGGTTTGAATCCCCATGCAGGAAAGGAGGGAGTCAAGCAGCAAAATCAATGGTCTCATCAGATGATTTGAGCGACAGAAAAGGGTGTATGACAGTGTATGACCCAGGAAAACGAGGGCTGTGACTGACCAAAGTGGGGCATTATTCATTGGCAACGTCCAAGAAAAAAATGCACCGAATAGCTATGAGTGAACTATGTTTCGGAAAGAAATCGGAGTCCACGCAGTAGCATAATGTCCTGGGTGAACTAAGTCCACACCCACCATTTACGATGGGAACAGCTGGCATCGATGGGGACTTAGGCTGGGACCAGTACCGCAACCGGCGGCATCAGAATGAAGGCTCCAGGATCGACTACGTCATGGTGGTCGGGAGATCCCAGTGGGGGATGAAGGGGATTTGGCGACGGCCCCTTTGATGTGTGGGAAACTTTCGAGGATTGATCTACAGATGGCATAGTCAATCCATTGTCTACAGTGAAATTCTTGTGGCGTTTTTTTTCCATGAAGTCTCAAGTATTTTCCCCACCGGTTTCATCCGGAAAGGGCACATGAGGACCAACCTACAACACTGCTGGTTGGTGGGTTCTAGCCATTGTCATTTTTGGTGACAGGCCACTGGAAGGACTGGAAAGCCTCGGTTTCAGACACAGATTTGCACCAAAATGGGTTGAGTAGATTTGTCATATTTTTTCTATGGACAAGTAAGTCCAATTTCACAATATGAAGCAACAACAGAAGTATCAGGATCATAGAACATATTACATCATACATCCATGCACTCACCTATCTCTATTTTTGTATAGTGATATTAGAGAGACAAATTCTTGTGTGTAAAGACATATGTATGTATACATAGATTCGTAGAAAATAAGTGTAACGTCCCATAAGATTCATGATTATCTGCCGTGATAGTATAGGATTGTGGGATATGAGTACTAGATTATCGAATCTGAATCTACACAACCTATATATATAGTATAATTATAGTACTATTATAATCATCGAAGGATCATGGGATTATCGAATATTAGTACTAGATGATCTAGATATCGATGATCTATGGGATACCCTCTGGTGAACTAACATAGCAATTGAAAATGGCCATTTATAGTGGAATTTCCCATTAAAAATGGTGATTTTGCTATGTTAGTTCACCAGAGGGTAGATATCGATGATCTATGGGATAACGGATATGTTTCATGGATCTGCTCCCCCTACGATCAAAACATCCGGGACTCCCGAGGGATTCCACCAAGGACAGAGCCTTCTTCCAAGCGCACGCCTCGCCGGGAGGAGGCTCGCCATTTGTGAAATCATTTTTCGAATGGGTTTCCCCATTTCCACATCCTATGGAAACGTTTATCCTAGGGTCATGGAAGCTTGATTTGATGGGATTGAAATTGGTATTTGATGAGATTTCAGCGGAGTTAATGGTGATTTAATGGAGATGTGATTTAATTTGATTTGATGGGATTGAAAGTATATTCGATGGGATTTAAAGGAGATTTCATGGTATTTCATGGTGTATTTAATGTGTGCTGTAGTGACTCTGTAGTGGGAAAAACAATCAATCACGGCGTGTTTGGGTTGTCTCGAAGCTCGGTCATGCCTGATGGCTGGGGTCAGCGGATATTGTGTCAAATGATATGGGGACTATATGTACATACATAAATACATGTACTTATGCATATTATATATATATACACATAGAAACCCCATGAAGGATGCTGAAAAGTTGGAATCCTGGAAGTTCTATCTTTTTTTTTGGGTTACACATTATCCCCATACATACATACATACATACATACATACATACATACATACATACATACATACATACATACATACATACATACACATCAGAATCAAGGAAAAAATATTCCATTGTATATATGTATATATATACATACACATCCACGCCTTAGTTTTCTGGTTAATTTATCCTTTTCGTTTCGCTTCACCAGGTCTTGCCTCTTCCGGGCGGTTGCAGCCCAACAGCGCTGCTGCAGCGTTAGATGCTGCCACGTGACGCGGCGTTTTGAGGATCCAATGTGGGGAGTTCAAAGGGGCCCAACGTAAGTTTCTAGCAATTTCTAGATACCCTCTGGTAATTTAACATAGCTATTGAAAATGACCATATATAGTGGATTTTCCCATTAAAAATGATGATTTTCCATAGTTATGTTAGTTTACCAGAGGGTATTTCCAGATACTCGTACTTTATTTTCGTGTATTTCCAGAATCTGCCGGAGATGTCCAGATATTTCGTATATTTCCAGGTAAGTGTTTTCACTCATTTCCATATATTTGAACACATTTCCAGATATATTGAGACGTTTCCAAATATTTCCGGAGATTTCCCATCCCCCAGATCCACAAAATCCAACCCGAACAGCCTCGTTGTTTTTTGATGTTCAACCGAGGTTTGGTGGCATCTCTCAACCCGCCCCCTTCAATGGCGGAATGCTGGGACCCCAGGGCGTAACATGCATAACTCACCTCCCGTTCCATCCGGGATCACTGTGGAAGATCTGTTAACCGCTGGTTGGGTTGCATTCCACGATGGTCATCATGGTATGTGATCATATGGTAATTGATGAAACAGAACACAGAATTTTCAAGAAACACATTCTGTGATGTCTGGATGCAGTGTATGTGTTCATGTCTGGGATCAAGAGCTTCCATGGACAGACAAAATGCCGGTCCCAGTAGCACAGGCCCCAAAGGACGAGCTTCTAATATTTCCTAATATGTTCAAAGGACTCCAAGGAGTTGTGTAATTGGCATAGGAACAGCGGCTTGTATTCACCATTTTGCCCGCCGCTGCTGAGTCAAGAATCACTGGGGTCAGCGAGGAAGTTTGACCCCTGCACGACAAACAACTAAGAAACATCCCAGCGAGAGCCAGCTGTAGCCATGCAGATGCCTCGACTTGGAACGAATCAGCCCAAGCACAGCCAGGCTCAGGGTCTTTGAAGGTTGGACGTCCGCTAAAATGCTAGGAATATCCATAACATCCATAACTAGACGATCATAGATATCCGATATATCCATTCAACAACTGGGTTTGTCTGAAAACGGGGAAGACCCCCCAAAATATAGGGAAACCATGGGACAATGATCAACCATGGGGATTTTTGGCGTTGCATTTCTAGAAGAAACCAGACAACCCCTCCAAAAAAGCCCTTTCTGCGAGGATGGCAAGTTCGACCCCGAACAGCTGGAAAAGGCCACGGGGGTTTGACCGTTGCATCGAGAGACTTGGATGACGGAAGACTTTGCAGGATCCCCCCGAACGTATTGAATGGTAGACACCATGTTTTCCGGTTGAGAGAAAATCCGTTCTATCAGTTCCCACCGAAGCATCAGTTGCTGACCGACTTTGACTCGCAATTTGCTGTGGATTTGAGCCACACAAGGTTGGAATGCAGAAACCATGTAGATTGATTTAACAGGCCCAAATGGGAATTGATTGTGCCATGGGCCTGATAGATATCTAACAGTTCGTAACTGGACACCCTTTAACTTTAAGCTATATACCGGTTGCAATGCCCAATGGCAAGGCTTGAAGATGGCGTATGGGTTTGTCCAAAATCAAGATACTTTTCTGTGTGCGACTGTCATAAATCAAGGTAAAAAAACAGGCTCACAATTACATATTAAATATGTTCCCATCTTTTATGGCAAGAAATCTGGTTTCCTGTAAATTCCTTCAACAAATCCATTGACACATCAACCAAAACACCATATTAAATGATGGTTTTGAGTCGTATCACGCATCCATAATAACGATCACAACGGAACGTTTGGGCTGTTGTTATACAGCAGCCACAGACGCGGACAGTCAGACACTTTATTTCCACATGTTTTGTTCATTTGGCATTTTTACATGAAACTCTGAAACACATACCCTCTGGTAAACTACATAACGATGGAAAATCACAATTTTTCATGGGTAAATCCACTATTTCGACTGGGCCATTTTCAAGTTCGCAAACTGTTTGTTTACCAGAGGGTAGCAGAAAAATGTCTTGCAAAAAGGATTTCTGCAGGTCAAGAGATTGCTGAACAACACCAGAATGTGTGAACCGTTCAAGCTGGAAAAGATGGGAAAAGATGCGAAGAAAAGATGACAAATGTATCGCAAGTCAGTGCTTTCCCAAGAGTTTTTGGTGGTCAGGGGATTTAAGTTGGCATATTTACCAACTGCAAGGCTCCGCAAAACGGAAAAACATCCCAGGGGACAATCCCAAATAACCAAAAACTGACAGCAACACGACACGTGAAGCATATTTTCGTGGCTGCTTATTAGTTGAAAAAATGGCATACCAGGATTTAATTAATGCGCGTTTTTTTTTTTAAATTCTATACCCGATATCCCATTATATCTTCGTTAATGTGGGAAACACAAAAATATACAGAATATCAACCTCTCCAATACTACCATAAATGGCTTGTAGAAACGTTCCTGAAATGGCAGGAATAGTGTTGGGTTTACCACATGATAGCCCCATTATGGTTCGTTGTTGTCCCCATTGTGGTTAGATTTGTGAATTTCTCTGATTTCGATCATTGTTGGTGATATCGCAGCAAGCAATTCTCATAACATCCAATGAAAGTCGAATTACATCCCCGCAAATCACTACTAACTCGCTCCCCAAAAATATTTTCCTTAGGTGCCAAAAAATATTCCCCAATATTTTCATCCATATTTTTCGGTGGGTCAAAAAATTGGGATGAACATCCATTTACCAACAAAAAAATAGGGTTCTGATTAGGGATCCCTAGGTTTTGATTAGCCATGACTCACATCCCCATGGTTCAACACGACTCTCCAACTCTAGATATCATATGATATCATCCTCATGGAATTCCGATGGATTTTTCACCATAGAAATGTGTCGAGGTGAGGCGACTCAAATGGGAAAAAGTTGGTTGATAAAAACCCATAAACCATAAACTATAAGAAACTATAAGAAACTATAAGAAACTATAAGAAAAATACCACATAAAGATCCATAAACCATACTTCGCCTAGTGAGAAGTAAACTTCGAAGCGCCTTCGTTTTGGGGCCTCGTTACGTTTGGATGATGATCAGGGCGCAGCCGCACTGAAAGAGATCGATGCATCGAAGTGCCTGGACGTGAAATTTGTGCCGTCGGAATGATGGTTAGTGAGGGCAACCTCAGGCTGGTGAGTTATAGAAATTTATACAGATATATCATGATATATCATCGCAAAAACAAGGATGAACATGACTTCTGTATTTTTTTTTAATGGACACAAGTGGATTTTTTGTGGATGGAAGTGGACATAAAACATAAATGCACATGAGCTTCATTTTGGATGTCATGTCTAGAATGTCTAGAGTCTAGGGTACTTGGAGGATGATCTTTTAACAAAAAGTGCCTGGTCAGTAAATCCCATGGATGTGGCTCCCAGGGTTATCCCATATTTTTCAATGGGTGAACTTCGGGTGACCTAAGTCCTAGCTTGCTTGGTGAGAGGATCCATTTCTGTAGGGCCCCCATTTTTTGTCTCATGGCCACTTCCCAATTTCTGAAAGCTGAAAAGCTGTGACGTGTCAGGTCACTTTGGATCACTGGTTTCGGAAATTTTGGTGGCATAGCTCCACAGCAAAAACCCGAAACGTCCACGGTTTTCATGGTTTTTCCGGTGCCCAGCACTGGGATGTTGAGAATTTCTTGGACACAGCACAGCAATACAAAAAACTGATATTGAATGACTCTCCAGTGGAGCTAAGAAGCCACTGGATTTAACATCCTCTTGGAATCATCTGGATCAATTGCAGCAGTTTTCTTGGATAAGCACCAACTATTTATGCTGCCTACACCAGTTTAAATCTCCATTTCCGGGATCAAATCATCTCAAATCCATTTATCTCTAAGATTTTAATTTCCGTGTCTCACCCCCAGGTCTCTTTTTTTTTCCCGGAAATTCCCACATGAATCCCATGACGTGTTTCCGAAAAAAATCCTGGCTGTTTTTCACCCAGGAATGCCAAGTTGGCTTTTGAGTTGGCGAGTCTCCAGGACCTGCAAGTTTGTTAGGGAGAGGAGTGGAACAAAAACCTATTGGAGAATTTTGCTAGGGATTTTCGTAGCGAATTTTTCGGAGCCAACTCCCCCTTTTTTCCAATGTTTTTTTTTTGAGATGGGGAAGGTGGGGATCCATCAAAACCTATGGAAACCTGATTGGATTTTCACGGGGTATCATGACTCTGACCCGAATTGAATCCCTTCCCCTTATATTGAACACCATCTATATAAATGGTTCATTTTTAATGTGTTTGAGTCCCCTACTAAACCTTGGTTTCTGAGGGGGTGTTGAATATTAGGGGGAGGGATTAATCACAAGACACTTTCTAAGTTTGAATAGATCAGCAATCGTCATTAACACTGTGAAAGCCCAGCGAAATTAATCAAACTTTGGAGATAGAACCAGCAAAAAGATACATTTCTCCGAATTTACACGGACAAAGATGCGACCTCCATTTCCGCGTCCCATACTCTGGCGATTCTTATGGAAGTATCGTATGGGTACCAGCATCGGAGTAGTGACATGTCCATACATTTCCCCCCCCATTTGAAGGGCATTTTTATTGGGGGATTGCTAGTTCCTACAATGTGGGGCCCCCCAGTGATGTTAGTTGGTTTATAAACCCCCCATTAACTATAGTTATAAGTACCAGCAAAACCATAGTGACATTGGAGTTATGTTCACCAACTTAGCTATCGAACGGGGGCCCCACATTGTATATATGTTTGTATGGGTCAAAACCCTGGTACCTAGTGAACCCCAAGTCATAGCTGGGTTAAAATGGATGTTCATCCCACTATAGTAATGGTATCTATAGGTATTGACCCATACCCAACTGGCTTTGTAACTTGGTTACCAGGTTGGTTACCAGGTATAAGTACAATAAACCATAGTTATTGGAGTTATGTTCATCAACTATAGCTATCTTGTAGCTATCTTTAGGAGAAGACCCATCAGATGCAATTCCTGCGCGACATGGAGAAGCAGAAGACCGCCCGCTCGCAGATGGAGGAGCGCAGCTGGGAGATTTTGCTTTGGAAACCTGGTCGAAAAAAGAGCCATGAAAAAAGGCTTAGCCTCTGGGAATCTATGGTTAATCTATGGTTAATCTATGGTTAATCTATGGTTAATCTATGGTTAATAATGGTTAATCTATGGTTCATAATGGTTAATCTATGGTTAATAATGGTAAATAATGGTTACCCTCTGGGAAACGTAGCCACATAACTATGAAAAATCACCATGCTATTCATGGGTAAATCCATGTAAATCCACTGGGCCATTTTCTATGTCGCAAACTGTGAATGTTTACCAGAGGGTATTGGGGCTTCGAATGACCCAGGGATACCCAGATTTACCAACCAGGAAAAAAATCGATGAGTCATCGGGGTTCAGCCATAAATGGGATGAGCCACCGCGACCTTAAGATCACCAGGGTTGTATGTTATATTCGTGGAATGATCCTTCAAGAAACTTGGTGGCTACAACCATGGTGGTTTCTGTTCACTTGGGATATAGTTAAGTATAGTTGCGGTTCTATGCCTATTGAGAGTGTATCCCTATGTATCCCTATAAAGGTTTCTTTGGGAACTAAAGATTGACCGCCTTTGGAGTTGAACATGAAACCATCAAAGGGACACCGTGGTTTCTGGCAGATATATCGCACCAGTTGGATGGCAGACTTCCTGGGAAATGCCCAAGTGGCTGGCCTGTTTGTTGGTGGCTGATACCAGGTGTAACCGTAGGGGTGTAACCTTAGAAACTACCAGCAACAGCAGAGGTATCACCTCATTGCTGCAGCTTACAACTGTGATGATGGTTCTCATTGGTTTTGAGATCCACCACTTGTTCAAACATGTTCAAAGCACTTCGGACGATTTTTCCTAATTCTTCCTATTCCATATCTGCTTTAGTTATATAGTTGTTCTACCATATCAACTATACCAGTATATCCTATCGATGGATGAGCAGATCAATAAATGTAGGATTAACCACATATAAATACATGATACAATATTATACCTAGGATTATATTACATATGTGTATATATATAAATACATAAGATAAGTATACTATTTATTTCTACATCAAAACATGCGACCTTTTCAACCCATGGCCGTTCCAGGAGCAGATGTCCTCGGTGCAAGCGGAGGAGGCGCGGAAGACCATTTCGCACCAGGCGGAGCAGGAGCGCGTGACGGCGCAGCACAAGGCGGAGGTGGAGAACAGTCTGCAAGGTGCGAGACGGCGAGTTGTGTCTGCAGAGTCTGGTTGGTGATGGTTGGTGATGAAAATTCCGGATTTTTTGTTTGGGGTGTAGTATTTCGAAGGGGAAGTAATCTCTGAACAGATTGTTTTCCACTGTATCAGATTTTCCCTCCAGCTTACCGACTTTTATCAGGGTTGCCTGAATCCATTCTAGGCAAATGGTAGAAGGGTGGTCTACTAGTGATTTCACCACTGAAAATACAGCTCCCCTCCTACGGCTGTTCAGAGCGAGCCACGCTGTTGGTGAAATCCAAAAAAAACACCTAAATTTCAAAGAAATATCATGTTGGTGTCCAAGAAATACCTTTGGCTAAATCACATACCCATAGGATCCATGTATGGTATATATGCTAACATTGGGGGTATATTGATGGTAAATGTTACCAAATATAGCATACATGGATCCTATGGGATATATATATATATTAATATATATATATATATTTGTTGCCTAAATTTGATTGGCCATCACGATGTTTTTTTCCCCGTGAAACGGCCATCACGGTGTTTTTTGACAAAAATCCCGCGGATGCAGGTCGGAAGCTGGAACTGCAAAAGGACTTGGAAATTTCGTGGGTTCACAGATCGAATGATGATCGAATGATTGGTGTTTTGTGAACAAAAACGATCTGTGAAGGGAAGAAATCTTGATGGGATGATTAATCATTTCTAATAGATGGTTGTTTTTTGGTTTATAGATGCTCCAACCATCATAACCATCTCGAAGGGATTAGATAATGATATTTATGATCGTGACGAGCGGATGAAATTGAGATTGCCACCTGATCCGAAGATCATGGGTTATGGAGATTTGGGTTTGTCTATATGGGTGAGTAGCTGTTTGTAAATCCAATTTTTCTGATAATTATAACAGATTGACTGCATACGTTGACACTGAGGCTATTTTGAGACAAGGATCAGGGCGAAATCGGCTTTCAATACCATGACCAGGGGGCGCATTTCTTGTTGGGATGGGGTAATAATGTGGAACCGGAGAACCAAGTGAAGCCGGCAGTATTGCTGGAGAGTGAACAAGCTTTTGGAAAAGATCTGGCAGGTGGATCTCCAATCATCAAGAAGTGTAATGGTTTAATATCCAAAACCATCAGTTTTGGGGTCTGTGGGTACTGCATTATGGTTCGTCAGAACCAGCAGTTTTGTGTGTCTGAAAATGAGGAAATCGGTTCATAACAACTAAATCCCATTAAATCGAGATGACATACTGTGGATGGTTGCGAAATCCTGCACCATCTGGGATGGTAGAAAGCCTATAATGGGATGTTTATCACCGTTTTCAACTGGTGCAGGATTTCGCAACCATCCACCGTATCATGAATTCCCCTCTGGTAATTTAACAGTTTGCTATTGAAAATTGCCATAGAAATAGTTCATTTCCACTCAAAAATGGTGATTTTCAACAGCTATGTAAACGTGTACCAGAGAGTATATAAATGCCATGAAAATTCCCATTGTCAACGGATTGGTTTAAGGGAACATCTGAGCCGGAAACCATGGTTTTTTACCATTAGATAAATTGGGGCAAATTCCTGTAAATTTTCCCTTAAACCAATGCATTCCCATTGAAAAGTCGGTTTTGGAGGTCCAACTTCTGCACTGCGCACCGTAGGAGGTCACTGACTATCAGCTGAAGAGAGAGCAGGAGCAGTTCATGCAACACGAGGCGGGCTACCAATGGATTGATGTTGATACAAGCTCCATTGGTTTTCATGGGCTTAATGAAGGGTTGAACGGTTTAACATGATGAGCTTTAAGCATGTTTGATAAGCTTCAAACATGGAAACTGGGCCAGTTTCGGCATCAACCATCAAGCAATTTCTTCTGATCTAATGCATGCCAAGTATCATTTTGGCTGCATAGACACAGTCCTGAAGGTGTTTCTATTGACCATTTTGGCCGGTCGTGTGGAGGTTGATTAATGCCTGATGGCTGCCATGGCCCATAATTCAACTTCCGGAGCTATTCGGAAAGCTTCAGCAATCACTGAGTCTTTTGGGTCCCGACGGTGTTTCTATGTGTTTCTTGCTAAGAGTTCTTTTCCTGCTTAAAAAGAATCGAGGTTTTTTCCTCTTGAATCTCCATTGTCCATTGTTTTCGGTTAAGTCATGTCACATTTTTGCAGAAAATTTGTCCAGTCCAGAATTGGATGGGTTCAAGTACCCCATTTTTCCTGAGTTCCATGCTTTTGTGCCTTAAATCCCCTTTCGTTTGATGGTCAAATCAGTTTTTTTTTGTGCAAAACGTGATCCCAGCCATCCGACCCAGCCATTTTTTTCACTAAATCATACGAAATCCCCAAAAACTTCGCCGCACATTGAAGTTCCCTGCATTTCCCGACGCAGTGCCGCAGCGGTTTTCCCAGCGAGGCGATTCGGCTGCGCAACGAGAAGCAGCTGGAGGAGATGGTGCGGGAGACGATTCGCGCCAGGGGAATGCAGAACATCGAGACGGAGAAGGCGACGGGTTTTTGGAGTTTGAAGATGGTGGGCTTGGATTTTGGACCAGAATTTTTCTACCAAAAACCCTCTGGTTATGTCAACAGTTTGCTATTGAAAATGGCCATGGAAATTGTGGATTTTCCCATTAATAGCATGGTGATTTTCCATAGCTATGTTAAATTACCAGAGGGTAACTATGATGGATTTGTTATGATATGAGATATGAAATTATATACAAATATCATCATCAACACTATATGGTTATAGTTATAGTATGTTATAGTTGTAATCATAATTGTAATATTTATAACCATGATAAACTGATAACTATACTAGTAACAGTAATAAGAGTATTTACTGGGATTTCAGTTATAATAGTTACCACTGTAGTTATAGTAGTGATAATAGTTATAATTTATAATACCTAAATGCTTTGGAGGGATGGTGGGTGCTATTGGGTGCTTGCTCTCCGGTGTCATCAAACGTGGCTGGATCGAAAATCCCCGAACCCAATGGAGGTTTATAGCTGGAAAATTCATCGAACTAAGTGGTGGATTTTCAATTGCCACATTTGATTGCCGGATGCTAATGGGAGATTGAATAGTATAAGTCATCTATCTATAGTTGTAGATAGTTATACAATACCATGATTTTGGGATTTTTGGGAGTTTTGGGGATCTTTGGGGGTTTGGTGAATAGGAATGAGATCGTAACAGCAATAACCAAACTAAGAGATTGTAGTAATAGTTCTAATAGATCTTCGGATGTTGGGACTTTTTGGGAGTGCGGTTAATGGTAAATTGGAGTTTAGATATAGGCAACTAATAGAAATACAATAGTTTAGAATGCTGTTTTGGGATTTTTGGAAGTTTTGTGAATGGGAGTAGTAACAGTACCCAACCAGTTGAAGAGTCTATTGAAGAGTTATTTTTCTATGATACTGATATAAATATAATGCAACTGGATGATCCACTTCCTGTGTCTTTATCTTGAAATATGGTAGAGCGAGCGCCATGGGCAGATCATCATTTTTCGGTTCAACATGGCCATTTTGTGGGATAAATTCACCATCACGCATGCATTTCATGATCAAAAATGACATTCCCTGGTTTTCTGTAACAGTTTGCTATGGAAAACCCTGCATTTTCATCGGTAAATCATCGAAATATTCATGGGCCATGGCTTCTATAGCAAGCAGTTGTGCTTTTTGAGGCTGACCTTTGGGGATCCACAGGGGCGAGATGATAAGCTGATAAAAAACATATGGAGATAATTACTGATCTTAAATTTATCATAATATATTATACATATATATATATATCATTAGTTTATATCTACATATATATATATCTGATTCATAATGGATCAATTTTATATATCTGATTCAAAATGGATCAATTTAAGATCAGTACAGTATATAAATGGGATGATACATTATGATCACTTCAATTGGCCCAGAGGGGTTGAAAAAAAGCCACGATCACCGAGTGATTACATGGGAGATATTAGTACTTGCCTTGTGAAAATCACGGTCGCTTGGGGGTAGTCTAAAGATGTCTAAAGCTTCTTATCACGGGGATTCAGCCAATGTCACGGTCTTCTCTTGCCGGAGTTAGGCTCCAGATTTGTTTGCGAGGCCGACGTTGCCTTGGTTTTGCCACGACTTTGTTGGCAGTTTCTTCACACGCAATGCTTCAAGTCAATGTCACCTTGCCAAGCGGTCGGAGTGCCAGCATCTCAGTCTTTGAGTCCTCCAAAGTGAGTGAACTGAGGGTTGTGGCCCAGAAAGCCTTGGGACAAGGGGGCCTGAAGTTGGTCGCTGCGGATGGTCATGTTGTGAATCCAAGTGACTCGGTGTCAGCTCTGGGGCTTGAAGATGGTGATCACTTGAATGCAATTGTGCAGGAAACCAGGCTGGCAGCCACTGAAAGAGCCTTTGCCTTCTGGTGTCCTGGAGGTGATCAGATCATAACCTGGGGATTGCCACTGTATGGTGGGGACAGTTCTGTGGTCCAAGATCAGCTTCGGAATGTGCAGCAGGTTCAGGCCACAGATGCTGCATTCGCTGCGATCCTGGCGGATGGATCTGTCGTCACCTGGGGTGATCCAAATTCTGGCGGAGACAGCTCAGCAGTCCAAGACCAGCTTCGGCATGTGCAGCAGATTCAATGTACTCTGGGCGCCTTCGCTGCCATTTTATCTGATGGATCCGTTGTGACCTGGGGCAGTCCACATCAGGGTGGGCACAGCTCTGAAGTCCAAGATCAGCTTCGGAATGTGCGCAAAATTCAGGCAGCACTCTGCGCCTTTTCTGCCATCCTTGCAGATGGATCTCTGGTGTCATGGGGGGATCCCACTGCAGGTGGCGACAGCTTCGACGTGCAAGACCAGCTAAGGAATGTGAAAGAGGTTCAGGCCACGGAGTTTGCGTTTGCTGCCATCCTGGCACATGGAGGAGTTGCAACATGGGGCTATGAAGAGTATGGCGGTGACAGCTCTGGAGTCCAAGACCAGCTCAAGAATGTACAGGAAATTCAAGCCACCGAGGGTGCATTTGCTGCAATCTTGGCAGATGGATCGATTGTGACATGGGGCGGTCGAGGGTTTGGCGGTGACAGTTCTAAGGTCCAACACAAACTTGAGAATGTACAACAAGTTCAGGCCACAGGCCGAGCATTTGCTGCGATCCTAGCAGATGGATCTGTCGTCACCTGGGGCCATCCAATTTTTGGCGGAGACAGCTCGAACGTCCAAGACCAGCTCACAAGTGTGCAGCAGATTCAGGCAACTTGCCGTGCATTTGCCGCAATCCGGACAGATGGCTCAGTCGTTACATGGGGCCATCCAGAGTATGGTGGCGACAGCTCTGCAGTCAAGCATCAGCTCGGGAGCGTGCAACAGATTCAGGGCACCCAACGTGCATTTGCTGCCATTTTGGAGTCTAGATCTGTCATTACATGGGGCGATCCAAATGCTGGTGGTGACTGTTCAGCAATTCAAGACCAGCTCTCGAGTGTACAGCAGGTTCAGGGCACAGCTTACGCATTCGCTGCCAACGTTGCCAATGGATCTGTTTTCACTTGGGGCGTCTCAGATTCCGGTGGTGACAGCTCTGGAATCCAAGATCAGCTCTGGACTTTGTAGCAGCGCCCCGAGGCCCTGAGCTGCCTGAGCTCTTGTATAGCTGCCATGCGGAGGCCGTTAGATCCCGCAGTCACACTTGGTCAATGGCTAGTCACTGGGGTATGGGTCAGTGGGTCATCCCAATGATCATGTATCTGTAGGCTACATATCTGTCAACGAGTCAAGACCTGTACTTTTTTGGCATATGAAAGGGCGGGTTGAAGAATCCCGTTAGAAATTGGTTTAAAATGAATACAACTACATATAGAACTAGGGATTAGGGTCTATGGTAGATAATGGTAGATAATGGTAGATAATGGTAGACAATGGTAGATAGATAATAAGATAAGATAAGATAAGATACGATACGATACGATTAGATAGATAGATAGACAGACAGACAGACAGAGATAGATAGATGGATGGATGGATAGATAGATAGATAGATATCTCTATGGTAAACTGGGTTTCTACACCAACTTAGCTACCCAGGGGGGCACCACCTTGTACAAGTTACTGTAGATTGTTATTCACAGAGGCACGGGTTTTCTGCATTTCAGGTTACCCTCAAGTCTCAGAGTGGAACAGTAAAATTGGAAAACATCCTCTTGTTTGGTTATTTTATCCCTGTCAGTTCTGCACACGCCCGTACTTGTCAGCTCTCCATGTTTGTTTAATTCCGAGGTTTGCATAATTTTTTGTTGCTCAATTCTGTTTTAGTTGTTTCAATCTCCGTTTTCTGTTCATAGAAGTACCCTCTGGTAATTTAACGTAGCTATTGAACATGGCCATTTATAGTGGATTTTCCCATTAAAAATGGTGATTTTCCATAGTTATGTTAGTTTACCAGAGGGTATTCAGGGTTTTTGTTGTTCAAATACCCATTCCTGTTGATGAAATCCCGATGTATCCTACCATGACCACCTATGGAAAAACCAATCCCATCCCCCAATCACCTTAGATGCGGAAAAAATCATGTTACGGCAACCGAGCATAGCTAGGGGAAACCATCATTTATATTCATTTATAATAGATAAAATATGATAAAATCATGGGAAGTCATCTACTTTCACAGGGCCATGTTTTTTTTTTAATAGTGGCTATAGCCAGATTGCCAGAGGGTTTTGCGGAAGGGATTACCAGGGCTATCGATATCGCAATTTTTGCTCAACTTGTCCTCGAAATTCCAACACCCATTGGGATCACCAACATTAAACACCCCTATTCTACGGTCCCAAATGTGTGTGTTTATCCCCTACATTCACCATCATTCACCATGGTTTCTGGGATGATATTACTTGCCGGCTCCTTTGGGAATCGTGGCTTATCTCATCATGGCTGAACCAAACCCAAAAACTCGTTGGTTGATAGGTATCCCAGGTATCCCTACTCTGGGTTAACCATGAGCAATGGAATTCTTCCATAGTTACACCCATTATTCAGATTTTCATGAATCACCATAGTCATAACTAACAAGAATTTTTCTAATAACCTATTCTGGCTGAAGTAAAGCCCACTTACTAATTGACCTCCAAGTAGGGTGGGACAACCAACCTGCTGGATTTTCAAGGCCACCGCGCAGGCGGAAGCAGAAGCACGTGCCAAGCAGGTGCTGGGGATGCCGGGAATTTCCAACCGGGCATGTAGCCATCTATTGTAGGGTACCAATGGGTACCATATTGGGGACATACCCTCACTTAAACTAAGATAGATGTGGACAACCCACTATTTAACTATTTGTAGATCATATTCCGATGGGGAAACCCCACGGTTTCCACATCTATGTTAGTTTACCCCAGGGTAACCATCAAAAAGTAGCAAAAACTGGTGTTTTGAATGTTTTAATTCCATCGAAACTCAACAACTCATATATTTTGATGCTGAAGCCCTTCAAGTAGTATGGTTACCCTTCGGCAATCAAACATGGCTTGAAAATTCCACATTTGTTCAGATGATTTTCCCCTGCTAGAAACCTTCAGGGGGATATCTCAGCCATGTTTTTGGCTAGAATGCTGGGACATTTGGCTAGGGAACCACAGATTCTATTCAGTTTTAGCATTCACAATCCCATTTTTTTGGGGCATAGCCAATGACTTGACCATCCGATGGATTTTCCGAGGGATGTTGGTCTCTGCGATTCAATACGACTCACCAGGGCTGCGGCTTCGCGCCAGGAGCGTGAGAATATCGACGTTCGTCTGCGTGCGTTCAGGGCGGAACAGGCGGAAAGGCGGAAGACTGCCCTGGATGCTGGGACTGGATGAGCACCAGTTCCCTGTTGATTGAACCGAAAAAAAATCAGAGTTCTGGGTAGTTTAATGGAGATTGTTATAATCCCTTGTGGGAAGCCGGCACCAGTTTGTCGGAGTTCTTCGGAGCAGTTGGGGTATCCGTGTTTTTGGCGGAGCCAGTTGGAGCTACGATTTGAGAAATTCCCAAGCACACTAAAGTCTGGCACAACAAACATGGTTGGATTGGACCAAAACTGATGAAACATGATGTTTTCAGATGTTTTGAGTATCTGGAATGGAGTACTTGAAGGTTTTTAAAGTACCAGGAAGATGTTTGGGGCTAATATTGTAGACTTGAGTTACCGAAATCATGGAAAACATTGGAAAACATGGGGGACAACCGGCATTTTTATTGTGATATCAGGGTCTTTAGGAAGATTGATGGGGTGCAACTGATACAACCAACACTATGAGCCCTGGGCTTGTCCTTCGGCGTTGAGGGATTTGTACCGAATTTATGGCCACTTTACTTGGGAATGTATTGAACATGATGATAACGATGGGAATTTTTGGGTAGCCTATTTCAGGCAAAGCCATATTGGGTAGATAGAAATAATCACCAGAAGGTTATGTCACGTGATTTGTTATCTGGTTGGTGGTTTGGAACATGAAATTTATTTTCCCATACATTGGGAATAATAACCCCAACTATCCCCAACTGACGTTCATATTTTTCAGAGGGGTTGAAACCACCAACCAGTTCTGATTTGTTATGTTCATTTTTGGATGTGAAATGAGACAAGTGGTTGGTCGAAGGGAAAGAACGCCCGTGCCCAAGTAACTTCTGTGTCCAATAATAATTGAGCTGTTAGAGATAGCCCTGTTGATGGGTTGTAATAGCTAATAGCGGCTTCGAAGAGGTACGAACCTACCTGGTTTGTTGGGGATAAGTATAACTTATATTTGATTCTAGGGATAGCTATTATATAACCATTTGCATTAAAGGGATGGGATAGTGGTATTTTTTTCCATACCCTAGAATCAGCTGAAAATCCTCATTTTGGGGAAAACCCCTGGAATCGTATGTGGGTTAGTTGACCCCAATAAAAATAATTATAGGTTGAGTAGGGTAAGTAGGGTTAGTCCAGTTATCACTAGGTTACAACTTATAAGCCACTTACTAAGCGGGGTGAACCAACACGCCAAGGTCCTGTTTTCTAGCCTGCTTTCGCCTAGGAATCCATTGAGACCTTCTTTTCCAGCATGTCTGCTGGTGCGGAAGCGCTCTATGATGACAGAGCCAAAACTGCGACCCTCATTGGAGGCTTGACACTGCTGGCTGGTGGCAACTCGACAGAGTTAAGTACTCAGCTGACTTCGCCGGGCAGTTGATTGCGACATCCATAGGAGTTTTGCTGGTTATAGCCCCTTGATTTGATGCCGCCAACTGTTTGATCTCTGGAACGTTCTGGGAAGTAGTGGGTCCAATCATATCATATCTATTCATATCTATCAATCTACCTTCAACTTCAAAACCCTCAAAAACTGCCCTCAGAGGAGGCTGTGGCATGGATGTCCTTCGGATCTTCTCCCACTTTCTGCATCCCCGCCCAAACCCCCAACTCCCCAAACCCTCCATTATTCTGCATGGATTATATCCTATATTCACAGGGATATCATGGACTCTACCGCAGCATTTGTCGAGACTAGATCCTATTAGATATACTTTTCGCTCGTGAAATATCGCAGTTGCGCTTTCTTTTGCAATTTTGAAGCATCCCCAACCCGCAAGCTGTGCCCTGTCTCCCCTTCCCACAACTTGGAGGCGCGGAGTTATCCTTCAAATACCAGTGACTTTTACCATGGTTGCTATTTGAGGGTTGCCAGATATGCCAGGCATCTCAAGTCCTGGCTAAAACCGTGTGAAATAACTCAGCTATGAATGGGATATTACCACACACACACAAACACACACACACACACATATATATATATACGGCACGGCTTGTGGGTTTATGAACCACAAATATCAACTGGGATGCACATCCAAGTGTACCATATCATGAAAACCATCATTATCCACATCATCCCTTGATTTTCCAACCTACTTTCAACATATTTTCCCATCATGTTCCCATATGTTCAGCCCTATGTTGGTGATACGATTTTCCGCTCGGATGGGTAAACAGGATTTAATTAGTGAGTATTTCCTGGATTATAACCCACAAAAACTGGCCACTTAGTGCTTTCCTATTAGTAAGTGGTCACTAATAACCCATGTAGAACTAGGATGTATCCAACATATTCCAACATATTCCAACATATAACTAGCTTACACCATGTCCCCCCACTTCAAGTTTGGTTTAAACCCCGTGTACTCGTTCGATATATCTACCATCAACCCAACATTGAAGTTATAAAACAACTTGGGTAACCAAGTCTCAATAAAATCCCCATTTTTGCTGCTCACCTGGCTGTTTTTTGGTGCACTCCCCGGCCTCCCGAGGTGTGTACGGTGCACGCGCCACCACCCGTGTGGCCGCCCGTGTGTTGGAGCGTCAGCTGAGCCGTCCACCTCTGGTGCGAGAGACTTCGCGGTGGTCTTGGAGACCACAACTCTCACTGCTGCCCAAACGAACGGCCAGCTCGTTGTTCGAATCCATCGTGCTGGACGCTGATCAAAAGGGATATTGTTTTGGAGAGGGAGCGGATAAAGAGCCACCATAGAATGAAGCTTTGAGTTTTTTTTTTTCGGATGACAGTTGACATAGTTGATGATATTTCGATGAATTTTGGTTTGATTTGGGCGGATTTTGAGGGTTTGATGCACGTTTTCTTTTTTTACGGTAGATTTAGAAGTGACCAAGATTTCAACTTCCTGGCTGTGTTCCAACACAAAACGGGCATGCTAGGGGTATTGGCTCACGCCAGGTAGGATTCAGCCCTTGAGCCCGGATGAATACACCATGGGCCCTTGAATTGGACTTCATTTATGGTAGCAACTTATACCTTTTGGGTGCCTCATGAATTGACCAGGGCTTTGGCTCGGGGGATGACATGAGATGATTCCTGATGTTTGATGTTTGATGATATTTGGATTTTGCCAGTCTTCTCAATCTAACGTTCAATCTATGATATGTCAATATGTGGTATATATAATCATACATACTTTACATAGATAATTATATTGTTTATAGGCTATCTAGATGTATCCGGCCATTCCCAGAATAGGACTTAAAACCTCTAGATTTGGGAGTAGAAATCATGATTTCCAGTGAAGATTTTTCGCCACAGCAATCCACTGAATGTTCTGTTTTGGCAAGGTATCCTCCGGTAAGTGGAAATGAAATGCCCATTTGTGCAAGATTTCCCAGTCAGCCATGTTTGAGGCCACTGGAGCACCCATTGATCATATTTGATCATCATCCCATTGATTCTTCCATAAAAATTACCCAAGAAATCCAATTTTCTGGAAGTCGAATGAACCATCTCCATGAAAATCCCATGAAAATCCCATGAAATCACGATTGTTGCTGGGTAAATCACCCAAGAAAACCCATTTTTCATAGCAAATCTGGGCAACATGCCCATTTTCAAAGCCCAGAAATCACCGGCAAATCCCATAAAAAATCCCTATGCAAAGCCCAGGAAGAGAACTTAGCCGAACGTCTTCAATGGTCCACCAATGCCTTGCTGAACGCGCAGCAGAATGGAACGCCCTTCCGACATCTCCTGCTGCATGGACCGCCTGGCACAGGATAGACCTGGCACAGGATGAATTTCCATCGGAAAATCATGGGAAAATATGTTCCATGATTGACCCATTGGGAATAAGCTTTGGAAAAATACCGGTACATGGTTTTCACCAAGTGGAATACCAAGTACTGGCCTACATTTTCTAAATATCTTCTATCTTGCCTTGACCCATTGGGAATTTCGGGAAATATCTAATAGAAATGATAACCGAGGAAATATCTTCTTTGGGAAAAAATGCTAAAATATCCCTGACATCAATAGAAAGTTACCCTCTGGTAAACTAACATAGCTATTGAAAATGGCCATTTATAGTGAGTTTTCCTATTAAAAATTGTGATTTTCCATAGTTATGTTAGTTTACCAGAGGGTAAAATTTAGAATTTCTAGAACTGTGTCAATCCTGGAAGATGGAGCAACTGGGTGCTGTAGATTCTGTTGAGGCATTTTTCTGGGGTGGATAATTCACATGATTTGAGATGGTTACGCATTTTTTTAAAGACATATAGGATTATGGGATCTAATTATATAATATTATATAATATTACAATATATATATATTATTGGATCATGATCTAATATTTTATGTATTGTTCAAATACATATATAATATGTTTGTACACACACACACATCTAGCGGTTCTGAAGCGGCTTGCGATCATGACTTGAACAGCTGCAAGGTGCCCCATGTTGTTGTGCGAGTTGGCGTATGGTTGTAACTAACACAGCGGTGTAGATATATCTAAATATAAAATCTATATTATATAACTGATGGGATTGATAAACCAACAAACATCATAGAATCCCAGTAGAATCCCAGTAGAATCCCAATGAAATCCTCCTGAAGTCCCCATCTTTCGTCACGATGGAGTTTTCCTGTTTTTTTTGCGGAGGCAAAACCTTGTTCGCGCGCACGTTGGCGCGACAGTCGGGCCTGGACTATGCGGTGATGTCCGGGGGGGATCTGGGACCCTTGGGCCGAGAGGGGCCGCATGAACTGCACAAACTCTTTGGATGGGCGCAGAGTTCCAGGACGGCATCGAGGGAGGCGCTTGAGCGCTTGGACATGTGGCGCCATGAATATCCATCATAAATATCAGATCTGATAGAACTAGCCCAAAAAATCGAAGTTTGTAATATCCGAATCTACAAATAGTGAGTTTCATGAGTGTTCCATACTTTTCTATCTGTTTGTTTAGGTTACTTTCTAATATGCTTTGATGCTGAAATTCGGTGTTTGGAGTGTTTCTTTCTGACATTCAATGCTTTGGGGAATCTGTGAATCAGCTTCAACAACTGAGAGAGCTTGGACCGAAAGCCATGGGTCAAGTCAGTCTCCCAATTTTTGCTTCGAAGCCTTTTTTTCTGTAAGATCCAACGGTTTCCTGCCAAAACAGAGACCCAAAACGGGGAACGACAGGAACCCCCCGAAGAATGACCCTCCGGATCCAACGTGGCGTCCAGTGGGAAATCTCCGTAGAGGTTTAGCTCGGCTGGCTGGACCTCGCCGGTCCGACTCTTGGGGTTTTCCCATGGGTTTTCCCCATCAACCAGTCCAATGGCGTATCTTATAATACATATATGTATATATATATATATATATACTATGCTAACCAACATGATGGTGAGGACCCTACTCAACCATACTCAAGCCATTGATTTTACCAATTTTGGCCAGAACAAATGATGATAAGCCAATTTTGTATATATATATAGATATCATGATATATCCCTAGTATTTCCCCCATATTTATTTGCCAGACTTTGCCAGGCTATTTTTCGCATCAGCATCAGCAGGGTCTCCACCAATCGAAACCATAGATGGTTTCCTACTGTATGGATGACGACATCAATATTCCAGTAGGTATATGATATTCTTTCTATTAAACACCATTAATGGATATGTGTTAAGATTCTATTGACTATGCAACTATCATCTTATTAGCCATTAGTTGACATCATACAAGTCTATTATTGTTATATACTGTTATTTTCCAGTAGTTCTCTAGTCTATTAACCGGTAGTTAAGAATAGTAGTTAGGGGAGAAGAACAACAAACATTAAGTATATTGATTAGATAATATATTAATGAACCAATAGTTAATATTAAACATCATGAAGTATCATTAGTCTGTTTTACATCCAATGACGGATGATTTGAACCCAACTAAAACACAATATCCGTAGTTGATCTTCGTTAACAGATGGTATCAACGGATCATTATCATGATTGATGAGAATCCTCTTTGCATGGAGTATTACACTACGTATTACTGAGTATCATCTATGATAAACACATACTTATGGTTAACAGGTAATCTCATTAGTTAGTGACAGACAATAATGACTAGCCATCTACAAACCAATCAGGGAATTGTATGGAATCGTCACCATTACAGTATTTATGATTGAGTATCATAGTGACAGCCACTAATTCCTACTGTAGCATCAATTATTATATAATTGCTATTATTTGCGATCAATCATCATTTATAAATTGTCATTATTTGATACCACATTTTGCTAACAAATAGCTAGTGACACCCAATCCATGGATGGTTTCCAATCTTTTGTTAATATATCTTAATAGAATATTGACCATTAGTATCTATTCACCAGATGATTAACATCATTGCTTAGTGACTGCCCAATGGATAGGCTTATAATTCACCATAGTTGTAGGGATGATTCCAACTTTGAGGAGCTTAACATCCCATAATTGTAACCATTAATATCAATATAGTTATAACCACAATTAACCATTAACAACCACTATTAACCATTATTATCCAATAGTTATGCCCATTAGCATCAATAACCATTCATAAACATTCATCTGGAAGCCGCGGATATGTTCAAACAGCATCTCGTCGCCATGAATCAGCATTAAGAGGCACCAATAATCATTGATCATCATGAATAACACTCATTAACCCCTATTTTTCATGCTTAGTAATGAGGATTAATGATTATTAATGATCATTAATGATTATTAGTGCTTATTGATTGACCCATAGTTCTAGTAATATTTTTTCCACCCCTGGCCCTGGCGCGTCCTGTGTCAGGAGAGGCTTGGTCCTCTTCATCGACGAAGCTGATGCGTTTCTGCGCCGCGGACGTGCGGGGACGGGGGCCATGAGCGAAGATGCCCGGAACGTGCCTCGGGGGCAGGGGACTTCGCCAGGGAGGTGAGGAAAAACCATGGGATTTCATGGCATTTTCATAGAGATTTCATGGGATTTGCCATCAAAACCTTGTGAGTCACTGGGATTTTGAATGGGATTTACCGGGAGACTTTAGATGGATTGAGAATCATGGTGGTTTTGTTGGATTTTATGGGATATTCATGGGATAAACTGTGGGTGTTTAACAGAACTTTCTGTGGGATTTGATGAGGATGTCTTGGGATAAACGAACAAACATGTGGATGGGAAAATATTTGATACAGATATGGAAAACCAATTCTATACTGGTTGGTGGTTTGGAACATGGCTTTTATTTTTCCATATATTGGGAATGATAATCCCAACTGATTTTCATATTTTTCAGAGGGGTTGAAACCACCAACCAGTATATCTTGCATGGCTTTTTGGATGTTTTTTGGTCAGCCTCATGGACAAGAAACTGCAAAGAGGACCCCCAGTTGTTCTTGTGGGAAACCAAGGAGGTCTACCCCAAATCATCATGATCCACCACAACTTCCACCTGTTTGAAAATGGGCTACCCTGTACCCACACATCCATTGATTTATCATCATGTTCCCTATGAAAATTGCCAGAACTTGGGGGGTGTATACCCAATTGTTCAGTCAAACCCATATGGGGTTTCTCAAAATGAGGACTCTGAAACTGTTGGTTTCCCCATTCAAGATGACTGTCTGACGTTTGGATGTTTCGGGCTTCCTTAGATTCCACGAAGTTGTATTGTAAAGCCTATCAATTATATATATATGTATATGTGTAAGTAACTCAACTACAGATATAGTATCCCTTAACTTAACTATCCATATCGACTTAACGATAGATCCACCATAAATCCCAGTGATCACTCTGCGTTGTGACCTCTCCAGGCCCTCTCGGTGTTCCTACACCACACGGGCACCGAGAACACCCACGTGGCTGTGATCTTAGCCACCAACGTGCCATCGGTGCTGGACCGAGCGGTGCTGGATCGCATTGATGAAGCCTTCGAATTCCCAAGGTGCCGGGGCTGTGGTGTTTTTCGAAGCCAAAGATGTTTGGAAAAAAGGATGTAGTAAATGCAATACTGATGTTGGAAAAGTATGCATGAGTCATATACAGTATATATATATGTATAATTATCATCAAGCCATATATTTGGAAAAAACAACTATTCTATTTTTGGTTGTTAAAACAACCCAACATATTAGCATGCAGATCCAGGATGGGCAGGTCAGAAGGGGAGACCAACTGCAAACGTGGCTTACAGTGGGGAGCTCGTCATTCATATCCCATATATCCTCCAGCATTCAACAGAAAGAAATGGATAGAAAAGTCGGAAAAACCACCTCTTTCTTTACCCATAGTGCCACAATCCTTACAAGGTGGTGCCCCAGCTCACGAGCTAAGTTGGTGCAAGTATCCCCAACAACTTGGGTTTCTGGTATTTTCTGGTATATATCTAGATATCTATCTATCTATCTATCTATCTATATATCTATCTATCTATCTATATATATATATATACATACATATATCTATTATAGATGTTTGTGAGGGTTCTAAACCAACAAACACTGGGGGGGCACCAACTTGTAGGTTTTGGGGCAAAAATTCTCACTCGGCAAGTTTGAGAGGCCAGCGTACGAGCAGCGCCTGCAGATGTTGAAACTCTTTGTAGATCAGTGCCTTTGGAATTTCTGATCGATGGTTTCAGCATGTAAGGGAGCTAACTATCTTTATTCATCTTTATTCGATATTGATTCCATATATATTTCTTCCATATATCATACATTTATTCCATAAAATTTTCCATATTAGTCGATATTTAATCCATACTTATTCCCTATTATCATTCAATGGGAGCCAGTGGGAGCCACGAATTTCAATAGGAATTGATCACTCTTCTTGGGGACCCACCCAGATTTATATATCAACCAGGGTTCATTGGATAAAGGATGATATAGAGGGTTGACATTACCGGAAATCCACCACCGACCCGCAAGCCCACAAGAACGGAGTTGAAACATGGTGTTCCCCTCGAAAAGCATGGCAAATGCCTGGCTACGGAGGGAATCGAAGTTCAAAAATCTTTCCCCAAAAAGATAGAACTGTAAAATCCTACTGAAATAGTGATGCATTCCTTGAAGTTCCTTGTCTACCTGTTTGATCTTTGATCCTTTTTGGGGTCACAACCTGCTGCAACTATCCATGTGGCTTTGGTCCATGTTCACAATAAAACCCAGGTACCTTTACCGGAAAGGGCAGAAAAACCGTGCGATCATCGAAGTCGATCCTGCTTTGGACGACAAGTTTTTGGAGGACGATATGCAGTTCTCCCTGTAAAAGGTGATTTCTACTGCTAACCATCAGGTTTTGATACTTGGAGATTATGTAGTGGCTAGCCTTTTGAACGATGATAAGGATGATGTAGGACCTATTTCTTGGGGAAGATGAACAGTCACGGAGTTTAGATGCGGTCAGAAACATCCATCCTTTTGTCTTCCATCCATACTGCTTTGCTATGGTGCACTCTCCGGGTCTTGTAACTCCCATTCATGGGGTCCAAAAAGTGGTGAACTTCCCCAATCACTATGGTTTTCTGAAGAAAATTGACCATTCCTAACCATCCAGATCTATGAGACCCAACCAACTTGTCCCCATAATTTCGTCTACACATTGATATCACTTTTGATTCACAGATGTTCGAAATTCCCACTAGAGAAATTGTGGTAAATTCCAAAGAACATTCAGAAATGGCGATGAACATTCGGTCCCTTTTCCTCGATCAGGCACCCTGTTAACCCTAATCTGTTTGGTTGTTGGTCATACCAGGAAGGTGACATCCCCGTATTCTTGTTGACCAACATATCAGGATGTTCTTGTCATCCCTGGTTGGTTGTTGGTCATACCAGGGTTGTATTTCATGGTAGATATCCCAATCATGACATCCCCAAATTTCTTGTTGGCTACATCCCGGATTGTTCCTTAAAGATGGCCATTCTGCCAGTTCTACAATGTGAGGCCCACAAATAGGTTGGTAGATTTGCCCATGAATCCTAGTTCGTTAGATATCAACCAATAAACCATAGAATTCAGCAAGTTATGTTTATCAACTTAGCTATTATCATTTCCATATCATTTCCAAATCCCATGAAATCCATCATTTTTCTTGGTTCAATGAACCTTTTCCAATGTTTTTCTCATGGCTTTTCCTATGGCCATCGGGTCCCCCGGGTCCGCTGGGTCCCCACCTCCACCAGGACGTGGCCCAGCGCACGGACGGCATGTCGGGTCGGCAGCTGGCGAAGTTGGTGCTGGCCTTCCAATCCGCGGTCTTCGGCTCGGGCACCACGCGGCTCACGCAGGCGGAATGGGGATGCTGGGATGGGGCATGGAACAATGGGGGGATCATTGGTGATGTATATAATTACAATACAATACAAAATAAAAAAAATATCTAATATGTAACATATAATATAAATTATATTATATATGATGTATTATATAATATATATAATGCATAATACAAAATACATCATAATATATATATATATATGTCATTTAATATATACTTTATAATATATAATACATAATACATATTACACAATATATCTAATACAATATAATATAATAAAATATAATATAATATAATATAATAGTATAATATAATATAATATATTTTAATACAATATAATATGATAAAATAATAAAATAAAGTATAATATGATATAATATAATATTAAAAATATCTAATATATAATATATAATATATATCTAGTATCTAATGTAGAATATATAATATAGAATTTCAAATATCTAATATCTAATATATATTTTTTTAATATGTAACATCTAATATATAATATATAATATATAACATCTAATATATAATATATAAGATATATATAATATATAATATATAATATATTTAATATCTAATACATAGTATATATAGTATATAATATAATATCTAATATATAATATCTAATATATAATCAGAATGTATAATAAATAATATAACATATCTAACATATGATATATACTACATGAAATATAATGTATATTTTATAACATATAATATATAATAATATAATACATAAAATATAATGTATACTTTGTAATATATACTATCTAATAAATAATATATAATATCTAATGTCTAAAATACAGTATTATGATATATAATACATATTACATCATATAATATATATAAGATATATATAATATATATGATATATATAATATATAAGATATATATAATATATAAGATATATATAATATATAAGATATATAATATATAATATATAATATATATAATATATAATATATAATATATAAGATATAATATATAATATTTAAATATAATATATATATAATATATACAATATATATATATATAATATAGTATATAATATATATAAAATAATATATAATATATATTACAGAATATATAATATCTAATATATAATATCTAATGTGTAATATATAATATCCAATAGATAGATATATATATAATGTATAATATATCATAAATTATATCTAATATCTAATATATAATATAGAATATCTAATATATGATATAAAATATACAATATGTAATATGCAATATCTAATATATAATGTATAATATCCAATATATAGTATATAATATACAGTATCTAATGTCTACTATATATTATATAATATAGAATATTTAATATATGATATATAATATAATATATATATAATATATATAATATATATAATATATAATATATAATATGATATATATTTTATTAAATTATATATACTGTCTAATATCAATGGGGTACTCAATCCATAACTGGTTTTTACAATCCATAATATTTTTCTAGAATCCAGAATTAAAATACAATGTCCAAACCTCAATATAAATATATACAAAAATAAAAAATAAAAACAATCACGACAATCCATCGATGCATTTTGCAGCTGTTCTTGGCTTTTCAATCCTGGCCGCACCACATCCTGGCCGCCGGGGCCTCAGATTCATAGTTACAGATGAACATGGTTACAGATGATTTCATTCATTCATATGAGTTTTCAATGAATTTCAGTCACATATGTATATATATATATATACATATACACATACATATGTATATATATATATATATGCCTATATATCTGTGTATCTATCTATATATCTTAATATGAATATTCAGAAGCTGCATATTTCATTGGATGCCCACTGTGATTTCGATTTCTGAGGTCCTGATCCTGAGCCGTCAGATCATGCTCTTCTTTGATTTGAATGGGTGGGGTACCAAGACCGGCTTCGCCAAGTTTCGCGCCACGACGACTCAAAGCATCTGAGTTAGCGCGTGAAAGCAAGGGCATTCTATGCAGGCATCATTTACTTTCTGACAGAGAATCTCCTCCATTTGAATTCCTGTTCCTATGATAATCCAAAGGCTTTGATGGCCATGCACGCGTTAGGTACCAAGAGTGGCAGGCTCGGATCTTTGCCTCAGAATGATGTTCTGCTTGTGTCGCGTCGCTTCTCACCTCTCGGCCTAACTGGCAACCGCTGCCCAATATGCACTATGATAAATTATGGTAAATGAACATTAACGAGCTGCAGCCAACATTCAAAGAGTATGTTGTTGGCACAATTGAATTGTACCAACAGAAGACCTTTTTATATTCAAGCACGACGGTATGCTCAGTGATTGATAACGAGCTGCCCGCTTTTGCATGAGTCTCGCAACTCGATTATTCGATCAAGTAGAGATACTGGATGATTATCCTAGTCAATCTCGTCGGCCCAGCAGGCTGCCCCAGCGGCCAAAAACGCAGCGCAGATGCATTGCCGGAGGAAAGGGACCAGAAGGCGAGCGTGTGTTGCAATGAGACATTGCCGGGTTGTGACCAGACTTGTGAAGTAGAACAAGAAATGCAAGCACTTCGAGTTCTGAGAAATTATAATGGCTCGCGTTCTGCCCTGTCCCTTTCGTCTCATGTCATGTCCATTAGTTTTCTTTTCATGTTCCTTTATCGTCAAACGGAAAGTGAGTTTGAAGTCTCTCTCTCTCTCTCTTTGTAGCGCTCTCTGAGGATGGCAATTCATTGGCTTCGTCATCTCGTCCTGTATCTCCATTCTTCCATGCAGGCTGTGAAAAGAAAGTCCAGGCACGAACTGAAAGGCGCCATTCGAGAACTAAAGGGCGCATGTCGCGCCTTGCGCGAGGAGCTCGAACAGAGCAACATGAACCGAGAGGACAGCATTGCATTGCAAACGCCAAGAATTCCGCATTATCAATGTGAGCAGTTTACCTTCTCCATCTTGTTTGCTTGACTGTTCGGTTGATGAGACATCCCATATCTACAAGACATATGGCAAGGTGAGCAGATTTTTGATCACTGCTCCGGTTCCAGGAGTGGCGCAGCTGGATCGCTCACGTAGTTGCGAAGTTCCCTAGATAGAGCTATAGCGACTGTCGCTGCGAGCAAAAATGGCGTCGTTAAAGAGATGGACACACAGAGCGCATCTACATTTGTTTTTGGGTATTTGACATGTCTTTAGAGTACCCTTGCCGCCTTCCAGAACATGACAAAGGTATAAAAGTTTCAAGTCCAAGCGCCTAACCCCGTGGGCTGCACTGTTCATCCTTAAAATGTCCTGAAAGTCAATGCTGATTTGCTGGTCATATAGTCAACTTCTCAGCCCTCATGGGCTATCCCAACCAGTTGTGAGATAAAGATGAGATAAAACATGATAAAACTAGATGAGATAAAACTAGTGAGAACGGTTGGGATCATTTGAGAAGGCATGGATCAAAGATCGAACATATGCAGAGTTTACCTTTACCCAGCAAACCAATCATGAACCGCTTTTTTTCCAGGACAAGAAGCCTACGGCTGTAGATGTGAAAAAGTTTGGTAAGGAAAAGCCCAGGCACTCCGAAGGTCGGGTACCTCAGCGCTCCGAATGGCGGTTGGTGATAGATGAGCGGAATTGATTAACCGAACTATGCTTGTTCGGCGGCTCCAGAGTTGATCTTTGACCGGCCCAAATGCCGCTTTGTACCGGAGAATAATTTGAGAGTTAGATAGATTTGCTCTTAGTTAGTTGGAGATGTGGAGAAATCATTGTGAATTGGCGATGTTTATCGATATCAATCCACCAAGCAGAGCGTTGCAGCACTGAATCAGGTTACTGGCATTCCTTTGGGTAGGCGTTTCAATGGATGCATCATTTTATTTTGAGTTGATGCCACCGGCTCACAAGCAAGCGTCGCTCAAACGATGCGACAGCTAAGACGAAAGTGGAAACGCCAAAGACAAAGCTTCGTTTTATGCGTCGAAAAACGGAAAGTAAATTGCAATGGTCCAAGAGAAATGCGCACTCATGTTTTGGAGTACAGGGTGTGCGTTACCTCTTGGGAGCGTATTATCAAAACACGGCAAAAAATATGAGCATTATCGAAGGAAGTTTAGAAGTGAAACTCCCGACACTGTGAACAGATGGAAAGCACAGCCAGGAAGAAGCTCAGCCATGGAGAAAGTTAGAAGAGAAGATCAGAGGTGGAGAAACTTTGACAAGGAGAAAGTCACAAGTGAGAAGATGCAGGTGCGCGAAAAAGTAGGGAAGTCGCGAAACACTGTGTTTCTCGAATGCTTTGTGACTCCGGATGGTCGAAAGGTAGGCTCGCTAAAGCGGCGGGTGCGGAGATATCTGGGCAGATGAGACATGAAAAATTGCACGCCTAAGAGGACCAAGAAGGAACCCAAACAACCTGAGTAGATGAGTCACAATGTTCAGGGATGTATGATATCACCATAATGCATGCATGGGTCTTCTTAGAAATTGTTTTGAGTTCGCACGCTCTCGCATCCTCCAAGTAATCTTTTGTATGCCAGTTGCCTCTTGCCGACATATCAGCTGTTGCTTTAGCAGTGACACATCATTTGATTGCAAGAAGTTATAACGATCAGTATAATTGCAGCAGCTGCGAACGAACATTGTCAAAATAAGGTGAAGTTGCTCATCCGCAAAGGGACGATCAGCAAGGCTGAGAAGAAGGAAGTCTGGAAGAAGGTGAAGAAGGACATCAGAGTGAGAGTTCCTTCTCTCAATGATTCAATCTATTTTGAATCATGCACAGCTTGAAATCATTGTTTCTTCTTTGGACCGAGGCACCTAGCAAGAACCAATCTTTCTCTGTCTTGCTGTGTTGCCAGGAAGTTCATTGTTCTTGCTCTCTAGCTAAATTGTGCAATCGAAAAAAAGCTTTCCTAGCAAAACGTGCCCGTGCGACGCTTTCCCGTAATATGCTATAGGCAGCTGATTGCTTATGTGACAGGACGAACAGTACCGTGAAAAAGTCTTGGGCCTGATCGAAGCTATGAAACCTTCGCAGGTCGCTGCGAAGGAGCTGGTGCGGACAGCGCCGGTAAAGATGGCTTCTCAACACAGCTGGAATTTTGAGATCGAGGCCCCTGCTATGGACTTCAACGTCAAAGTTTCTTGCCAGCAGTATCCATGTGACTTAGGATGTACTGACTGTCAAAGCGTCGAACTGATACAAGCATGTGCAACATGTGGTTGCGATATTTCCTAAAATACCATTTCAATTCTGACCAAATCATTGCAATTTGGGTGCATATAGATAGACGGCTGCCTAACAGGTTTGTCAGAGCTCGCTAAGGACAACACCTGCGTGCCAGCGACTACTGTCCTGGTCCCTCCAGACTGCTTGAGAATCAGACCCACCATGAACCAGGAGCTGGTGCTGCGGCGGCAAGACACTACTGATCCAGCCGCTGTGTTCCAGGAGCTGCAAAGGGACCAGTGCCTTGGCAACACGGCGATAAGGTTAACCAACTCTATCTTTGGTCTACATCTTTCTTTGATTCAGCAGCGATGCTGACTACACTACATTGTTCACTGGCACTGCAGGAGTCTTGCTTGAAAGAAAGTACTAAGTAGTCGGCACATTTCCGCTAAAATGGATGAGAATGCTGTCTTGCCTACCTTCAGATCAGTTCGAACAGAAAGCAGATTTGACTCTATGTGCAAGCACTTGCTCCAGGGAACATCTTCTCAATAAAGTAGCACATACATAAACAAGTTTGCGTGCGCTTTTGGTTTGTTTCGGTCGAATGATGAGGTGAAATCTGCATCCATATAGAGTCTCGAACCACCCGTCTCAAGTTTGCCAGTTTACTTGGGAAAAGAGATTTTGGTCGAGGATTGGAAAGTAACAATCAATCGTGGATTGGGTAGCGTCTCTCTAATATCTAATATATAGTATATAATATATAATATATGATATATAATATCTGATATCTAAAATATAATATCTGATATCTAATATATAATTTGTAATCTATGATATATAATATATAATGTAAAATAAAAAATGTACTATATAGTATATGTGATATCTAATATCTAATATATAATATCTAATATATGATATCTAATATCTAATATCTAACATAGAATATCTGATATCTAATTTACAATATATAAGATAAAATATATCATACATGATGCATAATATAAAATATATATAGTATTGACCATATCATACATAATATAACATATATTACATAATATATGATATATATTACATAATATATGATATATATATATATTACATAATAGATAATATATTATAGATAATATATGATATACAATAAATATCTTCTTATAGTATATAGTATATAATATATAATATAAAATATATAATATATCATATATAATATATAATATATGATATGTAATATATAATATATAATATATAATATATAAAATATAATAAATAATATATAATATATGATATGTAATATATAATATTTAATATATAATACTTAAAATATAATTTTTAATATATAACATATAATATATAATATATAATATATATAATATATATAATATATATAATATATATAATATATATAATATATTTAATATATATATATATACATATATCATAGATAATAGATAATATATATATATATATACACATAATTTAATATATAATACAATCTATCTATCTATCTATCTATCTATCTATCTATCCATCGATCTATCTATCGATCTATCTAGCTATCTACCTATCTACCGATCCATGCATCCATCCATAGATAGATAGGGCAATAAGTCAGAATATATATATATATATAATATAATATATATATAATATAATATATATATATATATTTCTAAGTATAGTCTACACACAATCAACCATGGGTTTTTTTTACAGATATAGTTCGCTGTACTAGTTCACATGCATTTCCATTGGAGTTTAAGGACTTCTGATCACGGATCTTCCAAGACCTTGTAGAAGCGTAGCGTATTGGTATCCAATCGATTCCTAGCACGCCGTGGGCGCCCAAAGCAATAACACAACTCCTTGAGCGTCTTAAGGGTTTGGATAAGTTCAGCTTCCACTTGGTAGTTCGCCACACTTAGTAAACCCAGCAATAGCTGGGGTAGGTTTGTCCACTTATAGCCAGGGACAATTCAGATATGGGTTCTGAAAATAGGGTAAACTACAAAAAATCACTGGTTGATTATCATTTCCCCCCTGAAACAGCAATTTTGGGGTATACACCATTTTCAGGTGATTATTCATATCCCAATCAAGATCCCAACAAATCTCGATGAAATCCCATCAAACAAAAAGTTCTCCTTAAATCTCTGAAATCCCATGGTATACTGTAGAATCATCATGAATCCGCCCATCAAATCATCACTAACCAGCCCCCTTTTTTTGCGACCAAAAACCCCGCATAGTCCGCGAAAACGCGCTGCTTCTCCCAGGGTCTGGCCCAAACGGTCTTGCAGTGGCGTCTCAGCCATCCCAATGCCGAGTGAACTGGAGCGAGCAAAGTGGGAGTGTCTTTTTTTGCGGAGCTGAGCAGCTTCAAATGATTAGACACTGGTCTGATTGTGCTGGTGGCCATACTGTAGAATCTGTTTGGCAAAGACAAGGCGGATGTTCAAAAAGAAACAATCTCAATAGTTCGACCATCAGTTTTTGTCAGTAACTTTCTGACTGAAAATTGGGCTGAATGTCATCCTTGAATCTCTGTGGTGTTTCTTCTCAACTGAATGTTTGTCATAGTGTGCACGGAAGTCTAAGTTTAAGATAGCTATGGAAAATGGTGATTCAACGGTGATTTAATGGGGATTTCATCAGCTATGATGGGATATGATTAATTAATCCAAAAACAATGGAACTTTACCAACAGAAATGGTGGTATAGTGGGTTATAAGTTATACTGGGATATTAAAGGGTTGCTCCAAACTATGTGTGGGAGCAACATTGATTGATCATTCTACCTCTTTATTTACCACATCTACCCCCTTTGTGGGGTGTTAGCAACCCTGTGTTAGATTAGAGGCAGTCACGGATGGGCAGCACAAAACTTGGTGCACGATTTGAAGCTGACATGCCCTCGGTGCTCCCATGCTGCCTTCCCCAGCTTGATCAGCTTATCGAAAAGATGAAGACTCGGTGGGGGGTGAGACCTGGGGATAGAATCAACGCATGGGAAGAAAACTGTGGAATAAACAGAGTATTCAGATCCATGGTGATTGGAAAATCTATGAAACTCCCCAGGGTTCATTCGCCATGTTTCTTTGCACTGGCAGTTGCTGGATGAAGATTCTAGGGGAACCTCCCATTCCACCTTTGGTCATGGTTACTCATCATTTTCCCCAAAAAACTTGGGGGTAAATCCACCAACAGACACAGATTCAAGAGGCCTGAGCTGGAAGAGGAGCACCGATGTCCTGATGCCTTGATTTTTCGGCTATTGGGAGGCTCTTCCATGATGTTTTTTTCCCTCAGAATTGGTTGAAGGAACATGTGCGGAATAGCCCTCTATATACCTCTATTTGATGGTCAAAACATGTCAAAACCGTGGTTTCCGGTCAAGTTTTCCCACCAATCCATTGAATAATTTAGAGTCAGAGGTGGGATGGCGGGGTGGTTCACCCCAAAGTCACGGTCCCCCCATGGGCAAACTCCGGTGGCGCCACAGTTTTGGCCCACAAGTTTAGCTATTTTTTAAATATCTATCTATATGCATATATATATGTGCATGTATTATCATTGTTCTTATTATTATTGATGATGATTATGATGATGATGCTGGTGATGATGATGATGATGGTGATGATGATGATGATGACGATTATGATTGTGATTACTATTATCATTTTTGTTATTAAGTTGTTATTATACTATATCAATCCATGTATATATATATATATATGTATACATAGATCTTTTAAGTCTATTATCTTCCCAGTTTCGCTGGTCACTTCGTTACTTTTCCATGGTTAAAAACTGAATTTCAAACCCGCCACCAACGTTGAGAACTCCAACACCCCATATGACGCCCGACGCGCTTCGCATGGAGGATGAGTACTTCGCGCAGTTCCGGGCAGACAAGGAGGCAGGATGAAATACTCGACATATTGCGAAGCAAATCGGGTACGACTAGACCTATCAAATTTGCTTTAAATTGCTATTGCAGAAACGAGCAGAAAGATAGTACCGCGTTCTTTCAGAATTTTATTGGGTTTGATTTTCTATCTTTTTTGGGTCTTGCTGTAGAATCAGCAAACCGTCCAATTGCTGGGAGGATTATCCTACGAATCACAACTGCATGGTTAACCCTACTTAGGGCCTCCCCAAAGTGGAGCCAGAACAATCCCACATAATATAGCTGGGCTATGCTGGGCTGGCTGACTACGGTTGGTAACTATGACTGATCGTCCAAGTACCAATAGACCACCCCAAGTTGGTCATTGTTGGCGGCAGCGACTTGAAGATCCCAAAAAAGGTATTGAACACGAGAATGGTTCCAGCCCTCGAAATAAGATAGACAGAATTTTATGGACAAGAGTCAAGACCTATAGGTGTGTGTATGTATGTATGCATATATGTATATATAGATACATGATCTAATTCTCATGTTGGGTAGGATGAATATTCAACAATATCAGCTGTTTTGATGGGAAGATATGAAGGTTATGACCCATGGCCGCATACTACAGCTCAAGCCATGATCTATGTAACTCTCCCCTGCAAACTGAGCTCTAGAATTGGTTGAAGTGAACATCTACAGAAATCCCCTACAACTCATGGAAAGAACCATGGTTTCCTGCACCATTTCCCTTTAAGCGACCCATTAATATGCTGGAGCCTCACAAAAACAGGGCTTTGGACGCTGAATTTGCAACCTAGAAACAGCTGTTGCTTTTGGACCTTGGAAATCAGATCTTCGAGCCTACGGCCTACCCTTTTGGTAGTCCATTATGGCCGCTGGAGACACCCACTCTAAACAAGTAGATCTGCATGTTGGATGACCCACTCCCATGTTTGTTTACTAGTGTGCAACCAACAATAGGTGGTTTATCAAGAATGGGGATTGAACTTCACTAATCAACGGGGAAATCCCCTGTGCGCTTTTTGATCACCTGAGATATCCCTATGTTTATTGGTGAATCCCCATGGTTTATAGCCCTAGCTCTTTTTGTTAGGGGAAATTTCCGCACGAGGGCCCCTCCACTGGAATTGTCTACACGCCGGGGTGCTCAGCGTGACGAAGCGAATTTCGATGGAGTCCAGCTGGGGTGCAGGATGAGGATATCTGATGGGTTTAACCATCAAAAACAGTGTGATTTACCCTCTGGTAAATTAACAGTTCGACCCTGAGAATCGCCCATTTTTCATGGAAACTAATCTTCCAACCCCGATGACTGCCAGGGTCTATGTTAATTTACTGGAGGGTAATGAGAAAAAATATTCATGGGTTATTTAATGGTTTAAAACCAAACAACTATAATTCATCCCTTCCTCCTGATTTTTAATGAAAACCCACCCCCAGAAACCATGGCGGATGGAGTGGGATGAAAGGCCATTGATTGGGGGTGTTCCAGCCTTTGGGAATTCAATCTCCATAAGCTCGGGGTTCACATAAATTAGTAAAAATACCCAATACCCTTGTTGATTGGTGATTACAGAGAGTTCTACTACTTAGGTTTTTGCAGATGATTGCAACCCATAGTAGGGACATCTATGAACCAACTAGTAAAATTAGATGGGATAGGGATATGTTTAATGGCTCACATGATTCAAAAGAACACAAACACACACAAAATCTACTGTACTGATCGGCAGCAGGAACGATTTCTTGGCAAGCGTTCCGGCCACAGGCTAGCTACAAGTTGGAACTGACCCAGCCTGGCCACAAAATGATGCCCCTGAAATTGAACATGGAACTGAACTCAAGAAAATGAGGCCCTAGAAATCGTTGTGGAATTATGTTATTGTTTTTGCTGCGCTTTGACCTTCAGCCGTGTCCCTTCAGCAAAAAAAGGTCCAATCTGGAAACAGAAAGACCAACATCATCCCTGGACGTGAATCCCAGAGGGTGAATTTCACCAGGAAAATCGTGGTATAACTAGGTATATTATAACTGGTTGGTGGTTTGGAACATGAATTTGATGACTTTCCATATATTGGGAATAGTAACCCCAACTGACTTTCATATTTTTTCAGAGGGGTAGGTCAACCACCAACCAGTATAACTGGTTGCAAATATATCAGTATTTTCTTGTATTTTCATTTTCCAAATGGGATCATTGACTTTACGTTTTAGGGGGTGGCTCAACCACCAGCCACAACTGACTTTCATGATTTTTTTGGGGGTTACCCTCTGGGAATTCAACATAGCTATGGGAAAGCACTTGTATTTTTTTCCACAGGTAAATCGCTAACTTAAATGGTCCAGCTATACTACTGTGGATGGAAGAAATCTTGCACTAGTTGATAGATTGGCAAAATCCCGTTATTTATACGGTTTCAACATGTTTCAACGTGTTTCAACCATCCCAGGTGGTGCTGGATTTCTTCCATCCACAGTAGTACCTTAGCTATGTAACAAATTACGGGGTAGCTCAAGCATCGTGGATCGGCGTCGAAGGCCTCAACAGCTGTCGGACCATGTGGCGGTTTCTCTCCTGCTGCGTCAAGGTTCCAACGTCGGCAGGTCAGAAGTTATGGTGAACAGATTTTTCGGGAGCCATCTCGCCCAAAATGAGCTTATTTCAGATGATTTCAGCTTGGTGAATTTGTGTAATTCAGTGAGAATGTATCTTAGGGCTGACAATTGCCCCAGCCTCTCGAATGGCTGGAAGCCTGTAAGAAACGACGAAGCGGAACCATGTTGGACGTGGTAAAGTGTTTGACTTCCATGTGAAACTTCGATTGTGGATACCAACATTGATATGGCTCAACGCCTGCGAATGGAGCATGCACTACCCCGAAACATACTGCCTTTTCAAAGGAAACAAATTACGATAAACCATCAAACATCGGGTACATTTGGGTACTCTACCCCTTTTTTTTGGGACTTCCCGACGATAATCAGATTGGGTCCATTCGCGCTCCCAATATCTCGGTGTCTCCCTTTAGATCAGATTCTCATCATTTTCACCGTTAAAGTGGCCACATGTGGTGTTTTTTTGGACCATTTTTAGACAGAAACTGGATGAACTTGGTCTATCCTATTGTATTGTGGGACATTCTTAGGTGTGTTTGAAACGCACAGGTGACGTACCTTTGAATGAACACCTAGAAGAGTAGCATATTTGGGCCTATATTTTCTTTTTTTGGTCAAACCCATGTAGGAACAGCCCATGCTTGGCGTGAGAACCTGTAGAGTCGGACACAGATGAGAAAAAGAAAAGCAACCGAGTACCCGGACCAAATGCAAGGGAATTATGCAACAGACTATTGTCGAGTAGACTGTGGCTCAAGATGAGTCAAGCGTTTTTTCTTGAGTTGGATTTGATTTTTTTCAATAGATAAAGATATGTTTCAAGTCCATGTAGCTTTGCCAAGTGGTCGCAGTGAGAGCGTATCAGTTCCAGAGTCCTCCAAAGTTGGGGACTTGAGGATTGCGGCCCAGAAGTCCTTCACACAAGGCTTCCTGCGGCTGGCTGCTGATGGTCGAGTCCTGGTTGATGCAGCACAGTCACTGGTTGAGGCCGGGATTCAGCACGGAGACAGCCTGATGGCAGTTGCACTGGAAACAAAACTTGCAGCATCAGGAAGAAAGGGAATGGCTCAAGGTGGTGCCTTTGCCATGTGGTGTGGAGGTGACAGGATTGTGACATGGGGTCATCAACGCCATGGTGGTGACAGCTCTGCATTCCACGATCAGCTCCGACGCGTGCAACATGTTCAGGCCACGCGCGGTGCATTCGCTGCGATCCTGGCCGACGGATCAGTGGTTTCGTGGGGAGATCCGATCTGTGGCGGTGACAGCTCTGGGGTCGAAGAGCGGCTTCGGGGTGTTCAGCAGATTCAGGCCAGCGAATGCGCATTCGCTGCAATTTTGGCAGATGGCTCGGTCGTGACCTGGGGCCATTCACGATTCGGTGGTAGGATCACCCCTCACGTCCAAGAGCAGCTCAAAACCGTGCAGCAGATTCAGGCCACAGAGTTTGCGTTCGCAGCAATCCTGGGAGACGGCTCGGTCGTGGCATGGGGTGATCCAGACTGTGGTGGTGACAGCTCTGGAGTTCAACCGCAACTTTCAAGCGTGCAGCAAATTCAGGCCACAGAAACGGCTTTTGCTGCGATCCTGGCAGATGGATCAGTCTGTACATGGGGCGAACCAAACTATGGGGGTGACAGCACTGGAGTCCAAGATCAACTCAAGAATGTGCGCCAGATTCAGGCCACACGAAGAGCATTCGCCGCCATCCTGGCAGATGGATCAGTTGTTGCATGGGGGGATCCCAACTACGGCGGTGACAGCCTTGCAGCTAATGAGCGGCTTAGGGGTGTGCAAAACGTTCAAGCCAGTGAATGCGCATTCGCTGCAATCCTGGCAGATGGATCTGTCATTACATGGGGTGATCCTGACTATGGTGGAGACAGCTCTGCGGTCCAAGATCAGCTCAGGAATGTACAGCAGATTCAGGCCACATCCTCTGCATTTGCTGCAATTCTGGCAGATGGATCCGTCATTACTTGTGGTGATCCTGACTATGGTGGAGACAGCTCTGCGGTCCAAGATCAGCTCAGGAATGTACAGCAGATTCAGGCCACATCCTCTGCATTTGCTGCAATTCTGGCAGATGGCTCGGTCGTTACATGGACTGACCCAGATGTTGTCGTTGATGTTTTTCCGGCCCTGGGGGAGCTCAAGAGTGTTCAGCAGATTCAGGCCACATCCGGTGCATTTGCCGCGACCTTTCTGGATGGATCCGTTGCTACCTGGGGAGAGCCGAGCTATGGCGGTGACCTCACTGCGGTCCAAAGCGACTTCACCAATCTGTAGCGTGAAAAGTCCCGACAATTCCATGACGCCAACAATTGGTCGGCGCTAATTGAAATTGGCAGTTGTTGAACGTTGTTGTGAGACGACCAACAGTTGAATGCCAATGTAAGTCATACCCTCTGGTAAACTAACATAGCCAAAATGGTGATTTATAGTCGATTTTCCCATCAAGAATGGTGATTTTCAATAGCTATGTTAGTTTTCCAGAGTGTAATAAGTTATAACCCCAGTTGTAACGGGACTGACCCTACTCACCCGACCTTTAACTGGACTGACCTATCATCCACTGAACCGATTCCTCTCGGATGAACTTCGCCATCGTTCATCCCGATTCTGAACGGTTCATCCCCCATGTATCCCATTGAATCTCCGTTATGTAAATCACATTCAATGAATTAGATCACATTTTTATAAATCATCATAACATCCCATCACTAAATCATCACTAAACCATCATGAAAAATCCCAAATCTTCATTTTCCATCCCGTGAAAATGTAGGTCACGGTCCCATTCTTGTTAGCCTTGCAGATACAGAAGACCTTATCAAACTGCAGTCTGAAACATGACATACCCCAAATGTAATATATATATATATTATATATAATATTGGGTTGGTTTATAATGGGTTCATCAGTTTAATTTCCCGTTTCTTCGATTCTTTTTCAAAGGGCTCAATTGCCAAATCATGTGAAATCCCCCTTGTGTACATTGCCAATTCCCCGTTTTAGCTTTTTGAAAGGCTCAAATCCTGTCAAATCTCACACATCCCTTGGGTTTACTTTCCAGTTTTGTTGAAACTCCCATAAATTCCCCTAATTTTTGGAGGTTTGATCCACACAACTCCCAGCCGGAGCGGTGTGGCCCATAGTTTGTCCCCAGTGTCGCCAGTCCCCGCGGCCTCTGCCACTGCGAACAGCCAGCAGCGGAGCCAGACGCAACGCTGCCAGTTCCCGCCCCAGTTGGGGTGGGGAAAAATTGGAACTTCGTCAAATCCGAATCGAAGTATAGTGATACCATCTGGTTATTTAACATAGCCTGGAAAATCACCATTTTTAATAGGTAAACCATCTATAAATGGGCCATTTCCCATGGCTATGTTAAATGACCAGAGGGTAAATGAATATAAATGACTCTTTTTTTTTCTCTCTCTCTCTCTATATTATATGGGGATGACTATAACTAAACCTGAATATCATATAATATAAAATATATCAAAATATATGAGATAAGATATTATACATTCTTTATATTATATATATATGATATATCACATATATTCCGCATAGAATATAACACATGATATATTCTAAATATGGTATATTTTATTATAGATAGAATGTATGATATATGATAAATGATTATGATATAAAGTATATGATATATTATATCATATACTATATATGATATTTAATATGTGATATTTAATATATGATATGTAATATATGATATGTAAGATATGTGAAATATAACTTTTAATATAGTTGAAGAATCAGAAGTAATTCCTACCCTCATGTATAGTATATAGCTCTACCATGTTGCAGCACTGTCTTGCAGGACTTCCGTTCATTTTGGATCCATCCGACTTTTGGCTCAAGCACTGGCAAAAGGTTCGTCCGCTTGTGCTTGACTGTTTGCAGTGGTTGCATTGACACCGTACTTGTGGCTGTGAGTACCTGTAGTCAACAGGTTAACAGCCTCATCCGGACAGCAATTCCATATCTCTGTTTAGCATAGGCCTGAGGCCCCTTTGCTAAGCAACCAACCGCCATTTTTGATACATCCATTGGTCTTAGAGCTAATATCGAGTTGAAAGCCTCGACCACTGTGCCTTGTATCTGGAGTGTAACTCTCATCCAAGCCTGACCATCAGGTGCTTGGATTGAAGCAAGCCTTTCGAGTCTCGTACGACTGGTTGGCATTCCGGGACTGGTTGTCTTGCACATCTGCAGCTCCAGTACCCAAAAACATCCATATAAGTGAGATAGAGTGGTCGCATTCGTTGAGCCTCCATCTCGTATCAACTGATCAGATCATTTGGTGTGTGAATCTTTCTGCATCAACTCGTCTCCCTGTCCAATTGCATACTCGAGTTGGGATTGATCCGTGTCAAAGACCTCACCATTGAACTTGACCAACTTCCATATAGCAATCCTCAGTTCGGCATTTTGCTAAGTTGTTCTCCTTAAGGGTGTGCTAGTGCATTCTTGAGTGAAGAGCCTGGGGATAGATAAATCAACCAGACAAATCAACCAAGTGTCCAATTGCTGGAAAGTGGCCCAAAATTCGATTCACCGCGTTGTTTCACCGCGTTTGTTCAGGTGGGGAAACATGATTGGGACAAAGTTCATCAGAGAACCAGATCAACCATGATTGGACACTATTGAATTCGCGCTTTACTTCGCATAATTCACATCTTCATCGAACTGACATCATGTGCGGCGCCATACATGGGAAATTCGGTCCTGTGCTTCTTTTTTGTCGGAAACTCAAGTGTTCTTTGAAAACACCCCAGGGCGGATCTACACCAAACCGTTGACGACAGAAGCCGTCACTGCGTTCTTGACCGCCTTCCGGGAAGCTCGCCGCTGCGCATGGAAAGAGTGGTGTTGTGCAAGCACATGGCTAAGTTTGTCAACGACTACTGAACATTCCAGTTTATTTGCCATGTATTGTTAAGAAGTGGCCACCGATGACTCTG